TTTCGAATTTCATCGAGCGAAAACCCTGAGCTAAATAATAATGGTTTTTGCTGCAGACAGAAGTGCTGCAGCGATCGGTCGATCTGCCGGACGCAATTCGACAAACTGGCCAACTGAGCCCCGCGGATGGAATGGCCGAGAAGGAGCTGCAGCCAGCTGCTCCCGTTGCGCGCTCTTCTGATGGTTTGTTGAACTCGGCCTGACTTCCTAGACCTCCCAGTAGATTTTTGTGCATCTGGAATTCATTGATAAGGTTCTTGAAGTGTCCTGGAATTGCAGTATCACCGCCATCGGCCGAAGAGATTTTGGAACGAAGGCGCAGACGACTCAGCGAAATGAAGCGGCACCAACTCCCATCACTTGGCTTTGTACCGGACGCTGTCAGTGATCCAAATGAACGGAGGGTACTTGCCTCAAAAATTTTATCTTTTTTTATGAACAGAATTCTGGTGATCGTAAGAGACATTTTAGTTCTTTTTCTTGTTTTTCATAATTTTCTGTTAATTTCTGCAGTTTTCGTAATCTCCGTCGTTTCCAGGAACGATTGGAAAAGTGGCTGCAAGCAGTGCTGCATATACCCGTCAATAGGAATCATCATGAAACAGTATGTTTGATTTTCCATTGAATATTTGCTGAATTTGTCATAGTGATCAACACAGTTCAGCTTCGTCATCGAAACCCCTCGCCTGCTCTGGCCGTTGCTGCTACATTTTTTGATGTTTTTGTTACGCTGCTAATGCTATTTGTGACGTAGCATGCTAATTTGGTCAAAATAAGAATTCATTTATTTTTCTTTTTTTATTAAGAATAGCATTGTAACACCAGTTCTTCAAGGTGCCGGCAATGGGATGATTACTCACTGTTGATGGCTGAAATTTTTTCGAGAATTGTAAACAGTTGAAAAGAAAAGAAATTGAATTTGAGCTTTTTTGAAATTAATTTGTACACGTTGGACAGGCAGAATTCCTGGAAGTATCACGCTTTTCATTTATCAATGAACTGGGCGGAAAATACTGCGAAAGCTTCGTTAAAAAACGTCCGGGTGGTGCACGAGTTTTCATCGGTTGGAAGCAATTCTGTGTGCGCCACTGTTTGAGGTGGTCCAAGCGATGGCTTATTTTAAAGGTGAATTATTCGCCCACCGTTTTTTTTTTTCTTGATTTGCACGATTGGAATATGTTTAGGCTCATTTTATTGGCCTCCGTAATATATTTTTATGCGTTTTTTGCAATTATGCGATGCAGAAAACCCATATTAACGAGAAGTTGTCAGTGTGCCCGTGTATCTGTGTGTGCGTCTGTACCGATTTTTGATCTCAAGACCTAGAAAAGCTACAGGGCTGAAAATTTGGGAACTTAATCTACATGCTCGTACGGGCCTCATTCCCCAAAATGGACGCTCTTACCTGCGTGGTACCAACTTACGAGCCCGCCAAAGTCTTTTACGGGTAAGTTCGTAACACGAAGTCTAAGAAGCTACAAAGCTGAAATCTTGAGGGGGTGCTCCCCGTCCAAGTGGGTATTAATGAGCTCATTTCCAGCCCTTAGGTAAACGTGGTACCCACGTACGAGCCCACCAAATTTTCTTGTGGGTAAGTT